TTTATCCTGTTAAGCTTTTTTGACAAAACTTCTCCTGCTGTAGAAAAAATGAAGTAAACTACATTTACAGCGAACCCTTGTTTTTCTTAGGGGTTGTGTTCCGAAAATAACCCGTGATAGGCAAAATTTGTGAAGTAGTTACCTTTATTTTTTTACAGTTATTACACAGCATAAATAAATACTCTACATTGAAACCAAATAACAAAACCTGTTTTCAGATCAGCGGATGTGCGTGTGCATCAATCGGGCCTTAATGTGATCTGGAGTCATGTCATTAAAGCGTCTCCTCCAACCTGCCCTGCGAGATTCACAGCTGTATCTACGGCAGAGCGATGGATCTCGTCAAGCCTCCGGTCGGGTTCTGCTCCCTCTGGCCACAGTTAAATTCCAGTTGGTATTCAAAGTTTCAGTTTCCATCTCCTGAATGGCCAATCTGTATTAAATACCGTAACTTTATTGGCACTCAGGTAGAGAAGAAGCGAGGAAACTGTTTTTACCAATCATACGGTCAATCAGGACGCAAAACACTGTGAAAAGAAATGCACAAAAAAAAATCTGCGAAGCAGCGATACAATTAAAGGTGAACCGCGTTATAGCGAGGGTTCACTGTATATGAAATAATTTATAAAAAGCAGCTGAGTAATTTGTAGAATGGCTGTATATCTGAGTTTATCTAGGTGTATCTGGGACTTCATTCTCATGCCTCATAATGCCTCAGCATTGAGGAGGTGGATTTATTTAAATAAGACAGTTTAAGACAGTTTAGTCAAACATATGCGACACTTAACCTGCAGAACATAATATGAAAGTAAACTAAGAGTCAATGTCAGCTGAATTTGGATTCAGATAGATCAAGTAGAAACTGACAAGAACTGGATGAAACAACAAAATGAAAACAAATTTATTTTCCGATATAAGATCAAAATGGTCCCACACTGCGGAAACCTTTTGTTTGAGGCTGCTCCATAGTTGGCGCTGTTCCGTAAAAGATCAAAAATTCGTTTGACAAATACTTTTGACAAATTGACAGATTTGCTTCCTTATATACACAGTTTTGCGCTTTAATGTCATTTCGAAACAGTTCCTGTATCGGTCACGTGCCTTGCTGAAACCAATACGCGCACCGACACGGGCTTTGGTCCATGGGCTTGACACATGCGCAGACGCATCGGTGTTGCCGGACCCATCACTAGCATTTACCAAAAGAAGATGTTTATTATTTGTTAGCAAAGATGACTAAGTTCAGTAAAACAAGACTCAGCATATCTATTGTTTCTCTTCAGGTGATTATTGGACGCAGCTTTATGATGAACAGAAGCGCGAGTATCTGCCAGCCACTCGGAATCTCACCCTGTCTGTTGCAGCCAGAACTCCTACTGATAAGGTTTGGGTTTTATATTCTAAAGCAGGGCATTTATTTTATTACCTTCTAATTTCATGTTTAGTTCACAGAACTCGTCTCTTTTTTCTTCGCCGCAGTTGATTCTGTCTCACAAGGAAACCAAGGGGAGGTTCAACTTCACATCATTTACCTCAGGAGAACACAAGATCTGCCTTCAGCCAAGTTTATCACAGCCGCTGTCTGAAGGCTTCATAGTGGTGAGAGGAAGAGCCACTTGAGTTTGAATTAACTATTAAGTAACTAGGAAATAGAAAATACTTGCCTGTGCAATATTATAAACACTTCAGCTGCATATTTTTTACACATAGGCACCATATGATGGGACTATATTTAAGAGGATAACGGGAGGAATTTTACTTAATTAATTTAACTTAATTAAATATAAAATTACTTCTGGATTCAGTAATGCATTAAAACGCTAATTTTATGAAACACAAATCCTTGCCTATGCAGTTTTAGGAACGATTTAATGTGTTTATATAAGTTAGCAGAAGAAAGTGAAGGGTTTCTAAATGAGGACATACTAGTGTATGTAGTTATAATCCAGTTTTGGGGTTTATATTATAGTAACTGATGGGAAGAGTAAGATTTAAGAGTTTAAATTTAGCCATATGTGGACGGTGCAAGTTTTAGCTGTTCAGAGAGAACTTTGCTTAGGTAAAGACGCTGAAGTACAACATAATATAATCGGCATAGAAATTCATTCAGGCATTTGATACAGGGAGATGAAGCTTTTTCCGTCTTGAAATGAAAAAAAAAAAAAGTCTGAGAACCAATCTTGGAGGAAAATAATTGGTTGTAGTTCCAGCTGCACTTTGTTCGGCTGCACTTTGTTGCACTATTTATCAAGCGAGTCAGCGGCAAACTATTTCAACATTGGTGTCACGTTGCAGGTGGTTCGCATGGACATCCGATCAGGTGAACGCACCAACAACTACACAGAGATCCAGAAACGAGAACTACTGACGCAGCTGCAGCTGCGAGTCAGACGGCTGTCTGCACAGGTTCACGACATCCACAAGGAGCTGATCTACAGTAGGGTCAGTGATGCAGTTATTTTGTATACATGTATTTAAAAAAAAAAATTAAAAATAAAAAAAAAAACAACAAAAAAAACAAAACACTTATGTTGGTATTCACAGAGCAGAGAAAAAGACTTCCTCGCCATCAACCACAACATCAACATGTGGATCTATTGGTGGCCCATCATCCGCAGCGTGTTTGTGGTGATCTTCATCATACACATCACAAACAGCTGCTGAGATCACAGCTACTGTTCAGAGTAAAAAAAATAAAAATCCTAAACATATTTACATTAAATTTCCTCCTTAGACAGTGTTTTCTGTCTGAAGAAAGCTGCTGACACATCCTGTTGTGTTCCAGGCGACATCAGTAAACTCTGGACCTGCAGAGGAAACGCAACATTGACCAAACTGAAAATGAAAAAAAGATTTACTCCTAAGCCAACTGAGACATCCTACAGTAGGGTGCTGGAGAAACCATTGTTTACCTGGAGAAAGCAGAGATGGAGATAACACAGAGCAGGAACTCGAGGCCATAGAAGCAGAGCAGCACGGCGCTGAGAATGAACTCGAGCCGCAGCACGAATGTCTGCAGCAGCAGGTAGTAAACGGCCAGCGCTGTGCAGGGAAACAGGATGAAGAGGGACAAAAGGGAAGACAGAGAGCGCTCGCAGAGGTTCCCCTTCCAACCTGGAGGAAAAACACCGCAGACAGTCAGAGAGAAAGACTGATGTTCCTGTCTGCTGCTGCTGTTGTGAAAAAAGCCATCTGTTTAACTAAACTACAGATATAAAGATGTTCCAATATGTATACGACTTTATAATACCTGCAAATAACAATAATTCAATAAAATGAGCTTTTTGTAGTTATACAGATTGTCTTTGTCTGATGTTAACATTTGTTTTATCTAAAACATTTAAATGTAAAAAAAAATAAGATAAAATAAAAAACAACAGAAGTCTGTAAGGGTGAAAATACTTTTTTCTTTTCCACCAACACAGAATTTAAAGATGAACTGATCAGGCTTTTCCTGGTTGATACCAATTTCTAGATTTCTGTGAGAGCTGACCTTCTTGTACCAACTTCTCTTTCATTTGAAGCACAAAAGCAAGTGATGGTTTAAAATTCAACTGAAATGTAGGAATTTTAAGATTAGCTCCATTTATGCACCAAAGCTTATGTCCCTAACCTTTATCTGATTTAGTACGAAATTCAACAAGTGCATGCTGTCGGCTGATGCATTTGTAGAATAAAGATGGGAAATTTTTAGTCTTGATACATTTACTGAATAGCAATATAAAAGAAAGTTTTCAATATTTCAGTATCTGCCCATCACAAATTAGAATCAGTCAAATGAAAATTTGTCAGTTCTGTAAATTGTTGCATTTGGATGTAAAAGATATTTAGTAACAAAAATGCAATCAAATATGGAAATTCAGTGAGTGAACATAACATATATTTTCCATGACAACCAAAACTGATGCGACAGCAAAAACAACAGAAAAAGGAGCACAAATTTGATCAAATTTGGTCTGACAACATGTCATAGTGAAAAAAATAAATAAGAACAAAACAGTTAGAAATTGCATGAAATGTTTAGTATTTCACATGTTGCAGGGGTCAAAGGAAAAATACTGATTCATTTTCCAGTTGTTGAGTTGTAGTTTAATTTCTGTGTGTAATCAATATTTAAGATGGTTAACCCATTGTGATCTAGATTTCACTGCCTATATCAGAATCTGAACAAATGTGATGCTTCAGTTCCTGAAATGCACTGTGTTAAAGAAGGGAAACTGAACAAAGATTTCCGTTTTGAAAACATATTCATACATTGAAGTGATTTCTATCATTACCGAAATGATCCAAATTTCTAAAATAAAAATTTGGATCATTTATCAGACATGTAATCTAAATTCTTATATAAAACTTTGGGTTTAATCACCCAAAGCATGTGTGCAACATTATTTTCCAGCCAAATACACTTTATCTTGTTAAGAAATCTACAAACTCTCAAATGTAGAGTTTTATGTTTCGTGCATTTGTCTCTCACCATAGAAAATGCGAAGAGTCTCCAGAGCGAGGAAGAGCAGCAGCAGCACCACATCCAGGACCAGATTATCTGCTGGGTATGGCAGTAAAATCCCTGAATAGAGATAAGTCATAAGATAATAACCACAGTCATGCTCAATACTGGTTTGTATTTACAACCACAAGACAAAACTTTTGGTTTACAAGTGATTTCATCTCATCTTATTTGACTTACACCTGTTACAGACAGTTTTGTAAATGCTGAGACTCATTCACTGTGAATTCTTTCCAATCGTAAGTGAGTGCATAAATATTCCATGTCAATATCAGAGAAGAATGGACTGACTGGTGTGAGATGACAATAAGGTAAGAGTGGCTAAAGAAAAAGAGAATCTAATTCATCCAAGCTCAAATTTAGATTAAATTTTGGGGAAATCTTGCTTGGTTATGTTGTGTCTTGATTGCAACTAAAAAAAATCCAGAGGGTAGTGTCAGAATTTGGTACTGGAGTATAATCATAGCTTTCCAACAGGATCCCACAAAGCTCAAATCATCAATATGGACCAAAATCTCAGAGGAAGGTTTCTAACACTTTTTGAATCTCAGACATGAAAAAATAATGGGGGCAAAGTGTACTCAACTTAGAATGAGCAAGCAACCTTCTTTTTAAATCAAGAGAAGTTCCACTTTTATGTTTTCTCCTCTTTTTTTTTCTCTGCAGGAGAAAAAAAGCTAATTGATCCCTGCTACCCTGAATGTGAAACATTCATCTCACCTTTGTAGATGAACATGAGGATTTCTGCTAAGTAGAAGGCAGAAAAGTACCAGCTGTTCAGGTAGAGAAGAACCTGCAAAGGTGTTGAAGAGAGCTGGGGAAAGGACGGTAAAGGACCAAAAAAGACAATTGTAAACAGTAGATCTGAATTAGTTTTATTGCAAAGGATACGACTGCTTGGCTCCCTGAAGAAAAAGAGGAAAGTTGGAAAATACGACGGTCAGATGCACATTCAGGACGATTATTTTGTTGTTTGTAATACAAAGAAAAAATGTCTACAGTAACCTCTTTTCGGTGTTGGCTGAAAAAAAATAGGCAGATGTGTGCATCAAAAATATTGAACTAATTAATCAAAATCTAAACTACAAAAAAATGGCCCGACGTTTTAATAAACTTGCATGAAAAAGTGACAATCATTATGGCAGTTCATAAGAAATCTGCTTCAACAAACATGTTTGTTGTCGCTAAATAAAGGAACCGACAATCTTCCCTTGTTTTCACTTCCAGCATCGTCCGTTTATTTATAACTGTATCCCAAATGTCGTAGGTGTTGCTGAAAAACATTCGGTTAATGTAAAACGCCTATAACGACATGAAATTAACAGCAAAGCTTGAAACTTACCGGGCGCCATGATTGAATCCGCCTGGTTGCTATGGAAATGGCTTGGGAACTGTTCAATCTCTTCTTCTACTTGGAGCACTGCATCCGGAGGTTGCCCTGCTGCCATCTTCTGGAGTGAAAGAGTTACAGTAAGAGTTCTGATCTGCATTTCGTCGCGAGAGGCAAGGCCACATACTCCAAATTTGGATTAAATTAAATTATTCATATTCTTGCAAACAAATCGGAATTATGTAGAACCCGCAAGACTATAATTAAGCTCTTCTCAAATGCTATTTAATATGCTGCTGACAGTGCAATAGAACAAGTCTACAGTTTCATCATCTTTTACACATTGTTTTTTGCACAGCAAATCATATATTATTAAATCTATCGACATCCTCTTTTGTGACAAAAAATAAACAAGGAAAGAAGGAGAGAACGAGAGAAAGAAAGAAAGAAAGAAAGAAAGAAAGAAAGAAAGAAAGAAAGAAAGAAAGAAAGAAAAATATAAAAAGGGGAGTGAAAGGATATTGATGTAGACTGTGTCTATTTGATTTTCCAGTTGCTCTTTGCAAGATAGAAAAAAAACTATATAATGAAATCAAATCAAATGATTGCATTTCTTATTTCTTAAATAGTTTCAATGATTGGTTGCTTTTTGACGTATCTATTGATTTATTTTATCCATTGAATTTTGGCACCTTTAACAATAATCAAACGATCGATTTCCTCATTTTATACCATTCCAGTAGGAGGGTGAATCATAATCACACTAAACATTATAAGCTTTAGTCGTTTATTCTGTTAATCTTGTATAAAGATCCTTCATACTAAGGTAAAGCAGCTTGAAAGGCGTGATGCGTAAAGAACTACTAAATCAAGCTTAAAAACTACAACATCTAGCATGCTTCTGCGGCGCGCTGATTGGCTAGGGATCTACGAGAGTTTACGTGGCACAATACTGTCGTTACTCAGGCTCAGTTCGATCTGTGGTCTCAGATGTCACATCGGGTCAGGATGCAGCTTTCGATTGTGCTTTCAGTTTTCCTCCTTAATATTTTCTACAACTCTGTCTCTTCGTTGTACTTTCACATCGGAGAAACTGAGAAGAAATGCTTCATAGAAGAAATCCCGGACGAGACCATGATTATCGGTGAGCGGTTGTTGCTAACAGCGAGTTAGCTCAACGGCTAGTTAGCTTCACGGCTAATTCAGCTAAAACCTGTTTGTCATGTCAAAAAAGTTAGCAGACGGCAAACATTTGTACACAACATATTTTTATATGTGCTCTATGTTTTTTTATATGTGTAATCGTTAATTATCAGAATATAGTGGTTGTTATTTGATCATTAGTTAGAAGTTATAAAAAATCTAATTCGTTTTTCAGGAAGTTTAATGTCAGACTGGAACAGATGGCTGTCTACTTGCTTTAATTTTACGCTGTGATTAAGTAAAGAGCATAAACTCCAGAAAAGTAATGTTCATAAATTCAAGAAGAATTTATGTTCTTTTGTTCCTAATAACCTTTTAATACATCATTTCTGCCACACATTTTCTTGTTAAAATGTCACATGTTTCTGCTCTTGCATTTATATGAATCTTTTAAAGACATTTTTAAAGTGGTGGTTATAGGCAAACTAATAATTTGGATCAAATCACCCCAGTATTAGCTGCAAGTCAATTCTGTAAACTGTCTAATTGCAAGCTCTGCTTAAGGAAGAATTGTCCCCACTTGAATATCACCAGAACTAAATTTCTAAAGGGTGTCTGTGCAATGGAGGAGGGCTGAGAATATGGCACTGCTGCACATGTGTTGTAATTTAGTAACCAATGAATCAGCTTATTATCTACAAGACAAACTGTCTACAACTAGAACACACTTTAGCACACATCAAAATAATATGAAGTTTAACAATGATGGAGGTTTGCCTTCTTAGCAGAGTGGGTTAATGTTATATTGGACTTTGGTATTTTTCTTTATGTCTATTGATTCTACTGTCTTCCCTTCTGTGGCTC